CTGCACAATTATTACCATTTTCAAGCAATGGCTTGAGAAAGGAATGGTAACGTGTGTCTAGAGGTCATTAATACGGCCTCTGTTTCACGTGCTGCTTTGTTGCGTACCATCAAGTTCAGACCGACTCATAGCTGACCCTCCGGTGGGTTTTCAGCGGCAGCTAATCACACAGAACGGGAAGAGACTGTCCACCTTGCTCTCAGGGAGCAGCTGGCAAATTCCAGCTCCGTGACTTTGGGTTGTCAGTACAATACCTTACCTCGTTCATGGGCCTCCCGACCTCGTGTGCTTTGAGTGACCTAACAATCTAGGAATTGATATTTCAACTCAGGTCAGAGGATGACTTAAAATAATGATGAAACGCTTTAAATTTTCAGTCCTGCTTTCTTTTAAAACCCTAGAGTTTCACTTGTATTAGTTATAACACTATTTCTAAAATAGCTTTATTTATAGTTCTAAAACTATTTTTAAAAAAAGGAAAAAACTAGTAAGTTTGAAACTTACTAACACCTCCCCACATTGCTGTAAATCTGCTACCTTTTTTAGCCTTAGTTCCTTAAGTTTTGCCTTTGAGATATCATAATGCTAGACTACAATAATATAAGCAACAGTGCAGCACGTATTGCATGGTCTCATCAATCATGCGCCACACATCATATTTTCAATGTGATTTGGGTGTAAGTTTACAAAGCAAAGTGCTTTTACATTCAGCAGTCAGAGACATTGTGTTCCGTGACATTGATGGCAATTCCCAAGATGTGACAGCACTCTTCCCAATCCCCCCTTGTGTTTCCAGTTTCCATTTGTCCTACTGGCCCACCCCTTCCTGTCTCCTGAGCTCATGTTGCCCTTTGGATCTCCTGTGGCTGATTGTTCTAAGGAATGTGTATCCCCAGGTGTTACTGCTCACCTGAAAGACCTGTCCATTGTTTGAAAGTTGAGCCACAGCAATGAGTTCACATGGTTCAATTTTTTATTTGTTCCCTTATTAAGATAATAGTTTCCATATGACTACTCATCTCTTAACTATTTGTTTTAGTCCTGATGGATTTATTGCTAGTATTTATGGAATCAGCCTCACGTTTAAGTTACACATATAATTATGTAACTGCCGGGTCTTCAGCATGTGGTGGGTTTGTGAGGAGTCCTTCTCTCCTCCCTCCCAGACTGTTCATTTAATTAGTGAGAAATCTGAGTGTGTGCTATTGTGTCCCCTGTAACCACCTATAATCTCTGGGCGTCTTTCTCTTTGAAGTTTGAGTCTCAGGAAGATGAGAAGTTGCTCCAAGCAGCAGAGAAGTTTCAAGCTGAATGTGCCTTGAAGTTTCCAAGACGCCAGTGCCTTTCAACAGTAATTGACATCAGTGGGAAGACAGTTTTTATCACTCGCTATCTCAAGCCTTTAAACCCGCCTCAGGAACTCCTTAACGTCTGCCCCAGTGATCCCCAGGCCACCGCGGTAAGTATGTCATAGCCAGTCAGTGCTCTATCTTCAAAAGGTTTGAACAGTTCCACACATTGCCATTTTACATTTTTTAATTGAGATTTTTGGTGAATGTTTTACAAGGCAAATTGGGTTTTCATTCAACCTTTTATACATCTCTTGTTTGTTGTTGTTAGGTGCCCTTGAATACAGCTCATAAACCGTATAAACAACAGATCTGAACCCTATCCTGTCCTGTCCCATCCTCACAACCTCAGACACTCTCAACCCATTACTGCAGTCACTGTGTCAATCCACCTGGTTGAATGTCTTCCTCTCCTTCGCCTTCCCTCACCTTCCCAAGCATGAGCTCCTTCCCCAAGGAATAATCTCATCTAGCACGAGCCCCGGGTGTGAGAGACAAAGCCTCATCATCTTTGCCTTTAAGGAGCACTCTAACTGCACCTTCTCCAAGACCTATCTGTTTGTGCTTTGATAGAACAAATGCTTCTCCAGTTCAAAGGCATCAATTCTTCTTCTACATCCTTATTCATTGTCCACGCAGCTCTCAGATATATAGCAAGTGACTGAAAAGACCATGGTCTTGAAACAGGCGCACCTTAGTCCTCAAACTGATATCACTGCTCCTCAAAAATTTGACAAAGTCCCTGACTAAAGACTTGCGCACTGCTCTTTCCTCCCTGTAACATTCATTTCCGCACTACGGTCTTGCTGTTAGTTGCTCTCCATTCACTATGACTCACAATCACCCTTTGAACAACAGGTCTGGGCTTTGTCCTAACCTGTATCTATGCTCACAATTTCCAACACTGTGGTAGTCACTGTGTCAGTGCAGCTTGTTGAGGGACTTCTTCTCTTTCACCGACCCTCTACCTTTGCAGAATGATGTCTTCTTCCAAGAACTGGCACCTCCTTAGAACCTGCCCAAATAGGAGATAGAGTTTCACCTTCCTTGCCTCAAGAAACGTCCTGGTTGTACTTCCTCCAAGACAGATTTATAAATTGTCTGGTATAGTCAATATTCTTCTCCAGTACCACAGCCCTAAGGCCTCATTTCTTCTTAGGTCTTCCATAGGTGTTCGGGTGGTCTGGTGGTTAAGAAATCATGCCGCCAGCCCAAAGGCGTATAGTTAGAATCCATCCTTCAGAGAAACCAGGCATTCTATGCGATTTACAGCCTCCAATAACCCACTTGAGGATCAGCTGGGATTAGGGTTTAATTTGATAGCCAACAACAACGTTCACTCTTGGACTTTCCGATGCACAAGAAATTGATCATTGCCGGCCGGCATGGTGAGCTGAGTGCCAGCTTAGCCACCATCTCTCTTTAAAGTAGTAACTCTGTGAAGATCATGAACGAAGAACTCGCCAGCCAGTAAAGACGGCAATGAGAAACCATCTCAACCCTACTACTGTGGCAGTGATGAGGAAAGAAGTGTTGGCAAGGGTGTAAAGAAACTTAAGACCCCCAGCCACTGCTATTCCAGAAGAGGATGGGGTCCCCAAAACTGTAAGGATGCTGCAAAACTGGGATAATTTGGATGAAAATCAATACTTCAGCAAAGATATCATTTTAAGGACTAAGTTGCACTTGATCAAAGCCACAGCCTTTTCTATTATTTTCTGTGCATCTGAAAGCTTGACAATAGAGAAATATGAGAGAAGAACCAATACCTTTGAGTTGTGGAGTTGGAGAGAATCCTGTGGACTGCCACAGGAACAAACAAATCTGTCTTGGGGAAATGCAACCAGGGTGCTCCTTAAAAGCAAGGGTGGTGACACTTGATGGCACATCCTTTGGGTGTGTTGTCGGGAGAGACCAGTCCTTGGAAAAACACATCATGCTGGGAAGGATGGAGGGTCAGCAAAAGAGAGGGTGACCTTAAACAAGATAGGTTTCCATGGTAACTGTGGGAATGGGCGTGAGCTTGTCAGAGATGGGAACAATGGTACAGAATGGTCTGATCTGTTGTTCACAGGGTGGCTATGAGCCACCATTGGCTTGATAACACCCACAACAATCCATTAGAACATGTTGAATGCAGTAAAGATTGTGTTTATGGAGTCCTAACCCACAAGATTCTCACCACTGGGCCAATTGGCAGCATCAGGAAGGATGGTGAAGGGATTGAGATTGTTAATAACTTTAGTCTGCTTGGCTCCACAGTCTTGGCATCAGTGTCCAGGAAATTAAAAGATGTATTGTGATGGGAAAGTCTTCTGTTAGGGACCTCTCCAAAGTACTGAAGAGCAATGGTGTCTCTCTGGAGACTAAGGTGCAT